TATATGAATTGGGTAAAATTGGCCCAGTGGTTCTAGAGAAGTTAAAAATGTAAAAAGTTTTCAGACAAACAGATGGACAACACGTTACGACAGACATTATATGCTAAGGAAACCAAAAAGCTCAAATAGCTTTTGAAAGGGTTACGATATGGTTGGAGTATTTGAAAAGCTGTTTTTTTCCTGCAGAGATATGCATGACCAACATATTATGTTTTATATTTTCTTTAGTGATTTGTTTGTTTGTTGTGAATACATCTTCCCTCATATGGAGACACCGCCAAATAATAATGAAGATAAGATGTGTTTTTGAAACACTGATGTCCCAGTATGGAAGCCTATGGCGAAGGTTAAGTTTCTCAAATATATGTCAAAATCAAAGGTCAAGGTCAAAGGGTTCAAATTGTTAGTATCAGAAGAAAGTCTTGTCACAAGGAATGCACATGTGAAATAAAGAAATCCCTAGTAATTCCTGTTCAAAAGTTAATTGCCAAGGTTAATTTTTTTGTTTAAGTGGTTCAAACTCTAGGGTCAAGTTCAAACATATTTATACCTGTTGACAGTTCACAATGAATACAATAAGTCATGATAAGTATGAAAGCCCTAGCAACTACTGATCAAAATTTAGGCAGAGTTTAAAGTTTGGTATTTTTCTTGAAAAATGTGTATCCCATGTCAAGCGATCAGAGGTAAAAATTAATGGTACCCAAATAAAAAGGGCTTATTAAATTGTCACAAGAAATAAACCTATAAAATGTGGAAGCTATTTGTATAGCCCATCCCACTTAAAACGTATGGGCAAGCTAATTACTAGGATTTAATTTCTGCAACTTATAGACAGACATACTAAACACAAGAAACAAAATATGTATAATAATTAGTCAAATGGAAAAAAATATACTATTTAACTGGAATAACAAAATACATTGTTATTTCAGGGACAGAAAGTGGGTAGGAAGATTGGAATCCCCCCCCCCCCCCCCCCCATCTGGCAAGAAAAAATGACTCTTGACATCCTCTCCCTATAAACTTAGAAAACATTGACCTCACTATCATTGTTTTTTTATTTGTTTATTTGTTTTCATTTTTTTCTCCTGCTTGTCACGAAATTCTGGGCTGGAATTTTTTGACTGAGATGTAACCCCCTCCCTACTCCCAAAAAAATTTGATCGCACCAGTATTGGCAGTAACTGAATGTCACATCGACAACGGGGGATAACTTCACAATATGAAATTCGTCTAGTGTGGCATGGATGATCTTTCACCCTTTTTAAACTTTAACCTAATAGTTTGGGTGTATTTTTTCCCCCCCTTATACTAAAACTTCTACTTACCGACTCCCTGTGTCTCAACTTCATGAAATATAAATCCAATTATAACTCAAAATGAATTAATCCAATGCACACCAGACTGCAGCCATGGCATTTTGGCGAACCTTCGTCGATTCCATCACCTTATCAGATGAAGTGGGAATCGGCCGAGGTGTGCCAAATGGTGTTTAATCTATAAATATGATAATGGGTGACGCAACGTGATGTGATGTAGAAATTTACATGTTCACATTTCACAAATTTTAAATTAATTCATAACAAACGATATTAAATTTTAACAAACCTTTTCCATCTAGCCTATTCCAAAAAGTATGTGCTATTCCAAAAAGTATGTGCTGTGTGATTGTGGTGTCGAGGGGGGGGGGGGGGGGGTTAGTAAATTTAAAAAGTTCCTATTATGAGCAAAACATATATAAAAAAATAATTTCAGACGCGGAACCAGAATTTTTTTCCGGGGGGGGGGGGTCCCCCTCAGTCAAAAAAAATCCTATCCCAGAAATTGACAACCAAAAAAAAACCCTAAAGTAAATCTCACCCAAACGTCAAAAACCTATATCGTGGGGGGTGGGGTGGTAACCGTAAAAATGATAGAAATGGATGTTAAAACTGTGCTTTTTATATAGAGTGGGTCTTCGTACCATTTTTTTGTAAACAAATATTCAAAGGGTATGGAAGGATGTATCTCTCAACATTTTCAAAAAAATGGTACGAAGACCCACTCTATATAAAAAAGTTAGTTTACCTACTAAAATTTCGCAACATATTCTCAAAACTCTAAGTCCAGTTGTGCGTTTGCTATACATATAGAACTATTTGCTATTTAAAGGGAAATGTCTGTGCGACTTCCTGGCTCAGTAGTCATAGCGGCGGAGTTGAAGCATCCAGTTACCTGTCGCGAGTGTTCGAATCAAAATTTTTTAAAGTTCAGGTTAAAAATTAGATAAACATATTTTTTCAAAAAACAAAATGAATAGATAAGATGATGAATTTATTTACGGTCAATTAATGTTTTTCCTATAATATACTAGTTTTCAAGCTACATGTGTATATAACATTTTAAATGCATTTAGTTCAAGACTACATTACACGATTAAAATGTAAACAAATTCAATCATGGGTAGCCAGTGCAATATGACTGTTCTGTATGCAAAAACAGTTAAAAGGAAAGGTAAAGCGTACCATCTCCCAAACCTGAAGACATAATTTTTTGACAGAACAATTAACACGCAATATGAAAATCATCACGTTAAAAATACTGTAAACATATAAATATTGTCATTTGGACAGTGCTGTACAAAGTTTAAATGTTTAGGTAAATCGTACAACTATGAAATTTCCAAAATGCTTACAGAGCGACAAAGTCTGTGTGGGCATATGACTCGCCTTATCCCCCCAGATTCTTTCATGATTAAAATGCTTCAGCATAGTTCAAAAACAAGAATATAACATTGTATCACCTTGACAATGAAGAAAACAGAACGCCAGACGTTCAATTCACATTGTTTACATTTTTTCTACACACGTGTTGGCTGCCATACTGGATATGAACGATCCGAATTTTCTCCAGTCGGCCTTAGAAAAATTTGTGTGGCGAACAAGAACGGTTGAATACTTGCCTGCATGTGATATGCATTTGTAGTGGTATAACAGAGGGAGCTACTTGTGCATGTTTTGACATATTACTCGTCCGTATATGAAAATTAGAGAATTTTTAATTTTTCAATCTATTTTTAAAATGACTAATCGCCCCATACTTCAAACATACTAACTTCATAGAAAGGTCATCAAAACGTTTGAAAACACGAGGGAAAGTAGTTTATTAAGCCGTACTTTTCAAGCTCTTTTCCGATACGTAATCAAAACGAGGCTGAGGGAATCTGGAAAGTTATCTCCCCCTTGCTTGGCATTGCTAATTTCAACGAATTTTCATTTTTATTTTAATGAGGGTATTCAGACACACCAAAAAACATATAGGGTGAATTCACCATGCATCGGACACCCTTGTACTTCAACAAGTTCTAGCGATATTGCTACCGACGGAAAATTATCAAAATGGAGCTTAACACTTAGTATGTGATCAAAATATAAATTTGGGACACAATTATATGCCTTTTATTGAGAAAATGTCACCAAAAATTCATTTTTTCCAAAAAACAAAAAATTCACCATGGATCGAACATTATTTACCATGCATCGGACAGACCGTATTTCGACAGAAAAATATCATACCTTTATCACAATACTTCAAAATCCTTGATATGGATATAATTTTATATTCTATCTAAGAAATAACCTAAGAAATAAATTTATTTGACGATATCGTTGCACAAATATGGAAATTGGGAATGAAAATATAGGTCAGATTCAGCATCCGAAGCAAGTCTTGTAGTGTCCATCCCTAGATGCATCATCTATGCAAGTTTGGTTCAGGTAGGGCTTATAATTACTTGGGAATGAAAATGTAGGTCAGATCCAGCATCCGAAGCAAGTCTGGTAGTGTCCATCCCTAGATGCATCATCCGTGCAAGTTTGATTAGGGTAGGGCTTATAGTTCATTGGGAATGAAAATATAGGTAAGATTCAGCATCCGAAGCAAGTCTGGTAGTGTCCATCCTTAGATGCATCATCCATGTAAGTTTGGTCCGGTTAGGGCTTATAATTACTTGGAAATAAAAATGTAGGTCAGAACCAGCATCTGAAGCAAGTCTGGTAGTGTCCATCCCTAGATGCATCATCCATGCAAGTTTGGTCCGGTTAGGGCTTATAGTTCCTTGGGAATGGACCTGCTCCAAAAACTTTAACCTTGTCACTCATCTGGAAAATGTAGGTCAGATCCAGCATCCGAAGCAAGTCTGGTAGTGTCCATCCCTAGATGCATCATCCTTGCAAGTTTGGTCCGGGTAGGGCTTATAAATCCTTGGGAATGGACCTGCTCCAAAAACTTTAACCTGGTCACTCATCTGGAAAATGTAGGTCAGATCCAGCATCCGAAGCAAGTCTGGTAGTGTCTATCCCTAGATACATCATCCATGCAAGTTTTGTCCGGGTAGGGTTTATAGTTACTTGGGAATGGACCTGCTCCAAAAACTTTAACCTCGTCACTAATCTTGTCTTGGGAATGGACCTGCTCCAAAAACTTTAACCTGGTCACTCATCTGGAAAATGTAAGTCAGATCCAGCATCTGAAGCAAGTCTGGTAGTGTCCATCCCTAGATGCATCATCCATGCAAGTTTAGTCTGGGTAGGGCTTATAGTTACTTGGGAATGGACTTGCTCCTAAAACTTTAACCTGGGACGCCGACGCCGGGGGTATAGCATAAGCTCATCTCGACTTCGTTGAGGTGAGCTAAAAAGTTACTGCAGTAAAACATAGTAAATTGATATGGAAACTCTAAATTTTATCCAGGGGAGATTTCATAATTCCAAACTTCCTCGTGACAAAATTTGACTTAAATAAAAGGCATGTTTTGTTATAATCTTATTTCACAACATCCAGCTGATATTTCCTTATCATAAACTTGCTCTGTTATAACGGCTATTAATTGTATTTAGTTGATATTCCATTATATTCTGAACTCTTTGGTGACAGGAAATGACACATGGTGTTAGCTAAATATTGCATCTGTTTGTTATTAATGCATTACACTGTCTGTTTAAAACAATCAAACTCACTCTCATAAAGAGGAATATCATCAATATAGATAGCTTCTCCTGAGGCTTGTTTGTCTGCTGATAGATGGGTCAGGGGTCGGCCGAGTGGATCCTGTTCCAGTTGACCTGGTGCGACTTCCTCGTACACCTGTGTACTTTTCGTTGGATCTTTTTGGAAGACGGCAGTGGCACTTTTATGAGAGGCAGGAACTTTACTGTGAACTATGCCTGGAAGCTGGAAATAAAATGATTTAATATTGGTTTGAGATTTTCAAAATATATTTCAAATAAAGTATTTTTGATAAGATTCATTTTTTTCAATTTTCATTCAGTAATCAAATAACATACACCATACTTTAACTACTTTGTTTTCAAGTGGATGCAATCCTCAATCATGTGATGAGTTGAAAACTGTCTTCAGCATAGTGTGATCAATACAAATACTCAATCTCATCACCAAAGATCATTTAAAACATAAATGATAAATAAAGTTACCCTCTGTCTTATTTGCATTAGGACGGTAAGGTAAAACTTGTAGAAAAAGCTGATGCATAGAGTTCGTCTGTACTCAGTCATGCCCCCTGGTGAGCCGGGAGGTAAGGGGAGATCATCTGCTAACCAGTCAGCCATATCCTTTACCAGGTCATCCTCCCATTTCCTGATGTACCAAAATTAAACATGGAAATTTATTACACAAAATTTCTTTTAAAATATAAGATTGTTTCTCAAAGAATGTACATGCAAATGTATATTGTTAGCCTATAAATGTATATTGTTAGCTTATGTTGTTGGCCTATATTTTAAGCTGTTTTTTTTTTTTTAATATTTCAAAAAGAGCACATACACATCTGAACCCAAATTGACAGCCATACATGACATTAAAAGTTGATCCAGTTACTAAAGTCAATTAATATACAGGTTTGCTTTGGGGATCAAAAGATGTGGCTAAGTTTTATTTCGTTGATGAATGTACAGTATTTGCATTCACCTTCCTATACAGTTTTTCATTGCCTTTGTAGCCATCACTGTGGTGGGGGCCATACCACCAAACGCCAGCCTCATTCCTTTAATATTGTTAGAACTGGGTTCAAACTGAACCTGAATTCCTGCATTTACAATAGCAATGTCATCCTCCCTTCTGTTGGCTTGTTTGTATCCAAAGAAATACTCATTCTGAAAAACAGGTGAGAAGATCAAGGTAATGATCTCTAAATGAAGATAAATGTTGATAAAGATCTGTTTCATATTAACATACACTGTATTTATATTTGCCAATGTCTTTCCTTATATGACAATATTAATTAAATTGAAATTCAATTTTCAATGACAAGCAGTCGGTCACATGATCAGACTTTCTTGCATATGGAGAGCAAACTGCGCTTTCTTAAATACAACTCTTCATACAAATAAATTTTAGAAATGCACTATTCAAACCAGACTAATTCAAACTCCTGATTTAGTGTACCTTAATTACTTAACTTAATGACTTGAACAATTGCATATATTCCTAATATGATTTTTTTGCATGTAATATTTTACAAACCTGCTGCATAAAAGGCAGTTTAACAGAGACTAGGACTTCTTCGGGTTTGACAGCAGTTTTTCTGTATCCTAAGAAAAACTTCTCATCCATTACAATCTGGCGTGTACCCTGATCTGAAGAAAAAGGAACAAATCTCGTATTCTTAGCTTATCTATATGAATCATCAACTTTTGTCTTGATTAAAAAAGCAATGTTTTCTAAATTCAGTAAGGATATGAAATACATGTATATCCTCTAAATTGTATGAAATAATACAAGACTAACCTTTAGACATCACGGTAAGAGTTACCCCTGCTGCCAAAAACAAGGGGTTCAAATCTGATATGGGACTAGCTGTCATTATATTTCCAGCAACAGCCTGAAAAAGATTAGTTATCCAGGTTCAATCAAAGGTGTACGGGGCTTTACCCTGGGTTTTATTCCATTGCACAATAGCCTGGTTCCGTGACGTCATGTTTTATTTACCCTCGGCTCAAGTCGGGTGCACAATAGCCTGGTTCCCTGCCCCTGTTATGCTTCATATACTCCCCATCACTAGGGCCAGGTGGAGTACAATGGATTCAGGGCGATTTTTCTAAGCTGTTGATGTAATGCGTCATTGTTACGTCAATATTTATTTCTATGGTTAACGGCAACGACTCAATAACCCATGATTTAGCGTGCATTTTTCTGACCAATCAAAGGAAAGCATATAATGTTATCAACCTGGCTCTCCTGCCTTGGTAAGGATGAGACAGGAGACCAGTTTAAGATGCACGGAAATTTACACCAGACTGTAACCAATCAAAGCTTGTGTTACAAGCTATAGGAAATAATCATCTTTATCTTTTTTTGAAAATACTGACTTTGTCTGCCATGAATACTCTTGATATTAAACCTATACACACAGTGCTGTCCTCTTCACATAAAACAAACTCAGCAAACACAGATGAACTTTTTTATATTAAAATATGACGTATACACATTCAAAAGACCTAACACAACTTCCGGTATTTTTTTTATAATTTGCCATACACATATACACATAAACAATTAAACCAGTCTTCACCATACATTAATTGCTACCATAAGTCATCTGTTCATGGAAATAATACAAGCATTCGTAATAACAAAGACTGATGATAGAAACAAATGATGTAAAATTTAAAGCATTCTCTACAAAACTTATAACATTGAATGTAACACTTAATTGAATTTTCTCTCTGCCACTCGTATCCCAACAGATTACACCATGAACATTATTTGTATGCAATGATTATAAAAGGATTTAGTAATGCCAAAACACATGTATTAAAATTTGATAAAATTTCTGCGTATAAGGTATCGAAGGACTCTAGAGATCTAGATTACATACTTAATGAATAATTAGTTGGGACTTCTATATCAAATTGACATACTGCAAGTCACTTTAATTCTACAACGCCAAAATTTTATGATATCTCAGAATGTACCAAAAGCGATGGTTTTAATTTCACGCTGTAAGAAAAATTAATTTGATTTTCATAAGATTTAGGTTTTGAAATCCAATAATAGCATTCACAATAGGTTTAGTTTCGTGTAAATAAATCAGAAATCGCAACATCGTGAAATTTTGTCCATTTTGTCTCTTTTACAAGAGGCCCATATCGGCCACATCGCTCACCTGAGTAACTTGGGTGATGCAGATCTTTACCAGATTCCCCCTCTTGCTATACCTATCATGCCCAACAACCCCCTTCCCTTTTTTATTTTAAAACTTTAGAATCTACACTACTCGTACTCAAGGATGCTTCCAAATAAGTTTCAGCTTTCCTGGCCCAGTGGTTCTTGAGAAGAAGATTTTTAAAGATTTGTTCTATATATTTCTATGTAAAACTTGGATTCCCTATTGCAGGCATGCCCTACCCCCGGGGGTTATGATATTAACAATTTAATATGTACTGTACCCAAGGATGCTTCCATAAAAGTTTCATCTTTCCTTGCCCAGTATTTCTTGAGAAGAAGATTTTTAAAGATTTGTTCTATATATTTCTATGTAAAACATGGATTTCCTATTGTGGCCCCGCCCTGCCCTCGAGGGTCATGATTTTAATTTATTATCTACACTACCCAAGGATACTCCCACATAAGTTTCAGCTTCCCTGGCCCAGTGGTTCTTCAGAAGAAGATTTTCAAAGATTTGTTCTATATATTTCTATGTAAAACTTGGATTCCCTACTGTGGCCCCGCCCTACCCCCGGGGGTCATGATTTTAACAATTTAATATCTACTCTACCCAAGGATGCTTCCACATAAGTTTCAGCTTTCCTGGCCCAGCTCTTGAAAAGAAGATTTTCAAAGATTTGTTCTATATATTTCTATGTAAAACTTGGATTCCCTATTGTGGCCCCGCCCTACCCCCGGGGCTTATGATTTTAACAATTTAATATCTACACTACCCAAGGATGCTCCCACATAAGTTTCAGCTTTCCTGGCCCAGAGGTTCTTGAGAAAAAGATTTTTAAAGATTTGTTCTATATATTTCTATGTAAAACTTGGATTCCCTATTGTGGCCCCGCCCTACCCCCGGGGGTCATGATTTTAACAATTTAATATCTACACTACCCAAGGATGCTTTCACATAAGTTTCAGCTTTCCTGGCCCAGTGGTTCTTGAGAAGAAGATTTTTTTAGTGACCCCACCCTATTTTTGTCTTTTCTTGATTATCTCCCCTTGTAAGGGGACTTGGCCCTTCATTTTAACAATTTAAACTCCCCTTCACCCAAGGATGCTTTGTACCAAGTTTGGTTAAAATTGGCCCATTGGTTCTTGAGAAGAAGTCGAGAATGTGAAAAGTTTACAGACGGACGGACGGACAGACGGACGGACGGACAGACAGACGGACAGACGGACGGACGACGGACAAAATGTGATCAGAAAAGCTCACTTGAGCCTTCGGCTCAGATGAGCTAAAAAATTATATAATATTGAGCTAGTTTGTGACGTCATAAAAACAAAAATTTTCAATAAACTACTTAGAAACTATAATATGATCTGTTAATTTATATTTCTCATACAATTTATAAAATTCAGCACATTTTAAGAACTTTTCAATTTTTTCTTTTGTGGATAGATATGCAATATACCGCATATAGTTCTTTGTATTCAAATGATAATCAGCTGCAATGTCTTCAACAAGAACTCTAACAACTTGTCTGTACAGTTCACCACTGGCCTATTCTTAGGAATTAATTGTCTCTGTAACATCTTAGCGTCAATTAATTAGGTTACCAATACAATTAATTAAGTTATAATGATTTCTTACAACCAGAGAAATGTACTTTACTCACACGTTATAATGCAGACACTAGTAGTCTGCTACAAACTGTAATTGTAAACCAACTTTTATTCGTGTGCGAGAAATTTTTAGCGAGTTTCGCAAGAGCATCAACATCGTGAATATTTCTCGTGGCAAACCGATCCTTTAAGTCTGTCTATCAACAACAGATACCAAAAAAGGCTTGATCATGAAAATTAATCCTTGGGAACTAGTTTATCCCCAGTAAATCGCGAAATAAAGTTGTCATGAACAAAAGTTGGTTTACAGTATACAACTGTATTTGTTTTAAACATTTAAACCAAATCTTCTTTGTGACATACACAAAGTGTTTTCAATTAAACAAGCAATATCCATGCTTGCTGTGGTTTCTACAGTCAAACATTAACTTACGAACAACAGAAGAATTGCTGTTATTTTTACATGTGACTTGCCATATCAACTTAATAAACTTCACAGAAAAATTGCTACACATGATGTTATTTCTGAATTTAAGCACTTCTTTCAAAATAAAAAAATTTCAGTAAGGCCAAGCAAAGTTAATTCCTTGGTTCTCGGGCCTTTTTTTCAAGAAATATGATGAGAGAGGAGGCATTTTTTAAAAAAAATTTATAGCCTCCAAAACACGATGAGACAGCTTTTTACATTATACAAAACCTCAAAAAATGATGAGGGGGTGATTTGTTGCTTTTATTTTATTGATTTAGCAATTAAAGAGGGTCAATGAGGCACCCTTGGAAGAGATGAGGGAGGGCCTGAGAATCAAGAAATTAATTTTTTTTTGCCTAATTCTTTGGTAATGCTCTTGAATGTAATATCAAAAAAAGAAGATGCTTTGAAGGTTTATGTTGAAAACATTTACCCTTAAAATATGCACATATGACATCTTGGATTGTAATGTAGAAATTCTTTTTTGTACCAAAAAAAAAAAGCTTACAGATCTTGTGAAAAAATACTGGCAGAGAAAAAAAATGAATGTATATATACTGTATACTTTATACATGTGTTATATGCAGTACTTAGAATGTTTCACTTAAAATCACATGATCTTTTGTTACATCAGTCGAAAATAATGTTTTTATCAAATTCCTTTCAAACTAACTCTTTAATACGATGAATAAAAGTCCATACAAAGAGATGTCACTCATACTGAAAATCACTGATAATTAAAAACATACCATCAAACTCTTGTCCTGAAATTTATGCCCTATATATTTCTCACACATTACCTTAGTAGCTCTGTTAAAAGAGTTATGTACAAACAAAATCAAAGTACCGAGAGTACTGATAGGTGTAATGACAGACCCACTCTTACACAACAGAAAAATCAGTGTTATACATGACTACAAGGCACTCAGATGTCAACATGGAAACCTAGACATATTTGCGCATTACATCATAATATGTCGACATGGAAATCTGTTATACAATCAAGGTTACCCATTACGTATCATATGTTGACTCAGAAATCTGTTACACAATGATATTTACGCATTATCATTAACTGTCAACATAAAAATATGCTGGAAACATTTATGCATTACTTCATTAAATTTTGAAATAAAAATCTGTTACACAATTGTAGTTACACACTACGTCATCATATGTCGACATGGAAATCTGGACACATTTACGCATTACTTCATAAATTGTCGACATAAAAATCTGTTACACAATCATAGTTAGGCATTACGTCATCAAATGTCGACACAGAAATCTGGACACAGTTACACATTACGTCATCTCCAGTGTAGATCGATGGTATGGCTGAGCCATGGAAGCCTTCTTACTATTGGAGGGGTGGAGGGATTTCTGCGCTCGCCTGGAGTCGGGGAACTTACTGTGATAGAGTTCAAGTCGTAAATACTTCACCGTCACTAAACAGAATAAACACAACAAGACAAGAGTAATCCAAGTACATACATCTACAAATATACAAAATGACAAGTGTATATCCAAGTACATACATCTACAAATATACAAAATCATTTTTGACATACATGTATATATATGTCTAATTTTTTTTTATTTCATGTGATCAATCCAGTGGCTTGCATGATAATTTGCATAAACGCCGAATTAAAATAATCACCTAAGTCAACTGATTGATCATCATCATGAAAGAAAAAAAAATCTGGCAGTTATTCCTAATATTAACATGCTCTTGATTCTCCATGTGCTCTAACCCCACTTCTTTCTCTATATTTGTCCCGTCCCACACGATTTTTTTTTAAGTGTGCCTATCGATGAACCAGTACATTGATGTAGAAATAAGTACATTAACTATTTGTAATTGTATTTCGGACAAAGACATCGGAAATGTCAATATTATGTAATAAATACAGTGGACCCTCAAATATCCGGATGCCAGATATCCGGACACTTCAGTATCTTGACAATTTTTCATCGGAACAGAAGTTTGTAATGATATTTTGTATTGTTTAACTGGTGATTCAGGTATCCGGACGCTTGTATCCGGACAACTTGACTAGGAATCAAAGCGTCCGGATAAATGAGGCTCCACTGTACTAGTGCTTGGTATAGTGACTGAAAAATCGTATCACGGTATATTGCAATATTATATTTTGTATTGCAATATATCACAATATAAAATTTTTATTAAAATTTGCCTTTCATCAATGTTATATGAAAACACAAATTACATGTATACTCAAATTAATATTGCTATTGCCTGATCGCGTTGTGTCCATGCAACTGGCAAACTAAGTTTTTTGTGGCACAACTTTAAGAATCAAGTTGTAATATTCAGATTCGGCTTTTATATGAAAGGGTTTCATATAACAGCTGTCGTCTTTTCATTTCTGACAGAGACATGTCTCTGGTTTCTTATCACACTTCACATCGCTTGCCGCCATATTTTACATTGAAAAGGGCAAATAACTCTTTTTATAACAATTTATAGCATATCGAACCCGAACCGATATTCACAAAAAAAAAAAATACTGCGATACGTATTGTGAAGAACGAAATCGGAATACACCCGTTAACCAGTGATATTGCGCAGCACTTAGAAATACATAAACAGATTGGGCAGGAGGCAAAGTCTAGATATAAGCCAGCTCCTCAAATGTTAAATATATGTCAGATTTGTACACACTGTAGGCCGTCTCACAGCTGTTACATTTAATGTACACACACCCCTGTAAAACAAAGGATACAGTGTTAAATCTAATGTACACACACCCCTGTAAAACAAAGGATACAGTGCTACATTTGATTAACTTGTATCGTACACTATAAAGTGCTTTTGGGGAAAAAGTAACGTCATATTTCTATGACAGGAACATTAAGTGTATGTTCCACAATTCAGTAAGTGGTAAAGAGTTCAGGTGCTGCAGTGAATTACCTCCTTCGAGTTGGAGTCCACATAGATATGGAGAATTCCCATAATTCCTTTGCACTTTTCCAATATGGCGTCCTGAACATTCACTTCCCAATCCTCGTCTGTTTCCCTGGCAACAAAAACAGAACAATTTAGAAGAACCCTCATTAGGGAAGCACAGAGCTTTTATGATTCATTTCTCCAAAGGATTCAAAAAAACATATGGAAACTTTTAATGAAAATGTTGATGAAAATCTTAAAT